TCCTTAAACAGTCGGGAAATCATAGTATAGTAATCTATTCTTTAGTGTTTAAGTGGCACAGGAGATTTTCGGACGGAAGAGACAGTTTACTAGATGACATGCGTGAAGGAAAACCATCTTTTCGAGATTGTAGTGCTGTAAAAAATGAAGTTCTTAACGTGACTTTGCCGTATTTCCGCACATGAAGTCTTTTTACGCGGACAGAGATTTGATGATTTGCAGGATCTACAATAGGAAGTGTGTTAAATATTATTTCACGTATGAAACCAGAACAGTTTGTGCACATTTTTGATAACTGGTTGAAGCGACATAAGAAATGTGTTGAGTTATACGGTGACTACGTTAACAAAACTTAAATGTTTTTAGCTTTTGACGTAGAGTAACGTCAAGGATTTTTGTTTTAATGCTCAGGGTATGAATGTGTATCTTTTTTGTATCTGATAAATTTTAACTATTTGTGCCTTGTTTGTGATTAAAACCTGCACATTAATAAACTGAAACATGAATTTAATGAAAATAATAATTTCAAATATTTTATCAATGTTTGTCAGTAATTATCATTGTTGTCCACGAACTTTACGGACAACCCTCGTATGTATAGAACATAACAGAGTGTAAAACATATATCATCTGACATGGCTTAGAACACCTAACAATTGACTAAGGAAACCTGGCATAGCTCACGTTATCTGAGAATTATCCAAGACGCCTGGTATCTCCAGAAATCATTGAGATTTGTCAAAGAAACATTAACTTTATAACAGGAAAGGAATGTGACGGACCAGACCGGGTTGAAATCCGGCCCCCCTGAATCTCAGTAAAGTACTCTACCAACTGAGCTACCTGACCATCAGCGATCGAACTCATCTGACCGCCACAATCCTCTCTACTTAAAGGTCTTTGCCCCCGAAGACACCAGCCCTGGTTCCTCCTTGGCATGTCTTTAACCTGTCCTAAAGGAGATAAATGCATCAGACCAGACCTGATTTTTTGTACTCGGGCCCCCAGAATCTCCAGTCAGGTATTCTACTAACTGAGCTATCTGACCACTGGCGATGTAACCTGTCTGAACGCCAATTTTTTTATCTTCTTTTAAATATGTAATAGATGTTACGCTGTGCAATAAATGCTGGCCAAAAAGTTTAATTACTAAAATTATGACAGCACTTCCCTTAGGCTAGCAATATGCAAAATGAAATTTTGGATGAATTGTTGTAGTTTAGGCTACATATATCTGATTATTGCACATCTACAGACCCCCCTCCCACCCAAACCATAGCAAAAGATAAAATAGCTACTGTGTAAAATGTATGAGGAGCTCTTGGGACCAGGTTTTTGTAAAATTAAAAAAAAAGTCCTCTTCGTCTCCCATTTCACCCTGAGGTTGAAATTGAATGTTCCGAAACCTTATTGCACATCTGCAAGACACCCCCTTATCATCTTGCAAAAGACGAAATGGCTACTGATTAAAATATAAGAGGAGTTTTGTTAACCAGAATTTGGTAAAATAAGAAACGTCCTTTCCGACCACCATTATATATTTTGCCCTGAGGATGAAAATGAAAATCCCTAAACCTTTTGCATATATACAGGACACCACCAACCATCTTGTAATAGATGATTTATTTCCAGAGAAGCTTCACTTGAAAAATAAAATTTCTTGCTTTTATTCTTATATTGCTGAAATCCATGTTAAAGGTCTTCATCAAAAGAGTGAATTCATATTCTCGCGATTTAACGCCTGGGACTGCTTTCTCTCGTAAATGTTTGAATCTACAGAAGGCCCTAATGTGTGAATACACACTGTACAACTGGGTGTATTCAAAAAAATGACCAAACCCATATTTATCAACCCACACTAAAAATTCAGGCAATGAAAATAGATTTCTATGTGTCAGCATATGTCTTTAGATAGTGTCTAAATACTTGCCAAATATCTCGTTGATATCTCAATTAGCAAAAAAGTTATGCCCAGAAATGATGCTAAAATTGTCAGGAGTGCAACACCTTTTTGTGACATTTTGAAATTTCAATATTTTTTGGAGATCTGTGCAATAAAAAATAATGCTTCATGTTGAAAATAAAGACTTTCCTGACAATATTCAAAGTATTGAGCTTTAAATGTGGACTGTCATAACTTTTGTTTAATCAAGTTGTGGTCATGGCTGATGTTTAAAAAAATGTTATACCATGTCAGGAGTGCAACAGAAAAAATGTAGTGTTGCAAAAAAAAATCAATTATAAAATTCTGATAGAAAATTAAGACAAAAAAGAATTTTGTAAGTGTAAAATAATAACTGATATACATTTTAAAACTTAAAAATGTTATATAAATCAAAAACAGCATTAATGAGTGTCAAGTATATGTGCATACCCAAAAATGTCAGGAGTGCAACATTTGATGTTTTGCTCCCAAGCATGAAAAAACTATTATCATTATATGATTTTCTGATTTTTATTTTGAAAAATAAAGACACAAAGAACATTTTTATCAAATAGATTTATCAATTACAGGATCTGTCTGTGCTTCAGATCCATATTTCTATGGTCAGGAGTGCAACACATTTTTTTAAAGATTCAAGTTGTGTGACGAAAAGACTTCTATTCATGCTTAGAAGTATTCATTAATTAATAATGATCTTTTGTATAATTTAATGCTAAATTATTGACAGTTTTATTATTAAAATTCTTCCTTTTTCAATTTTATCCATTCAGATTTGTTTTAATCTTTCTTGTGATTTTTTTAATGAACGTTAAAAATAAACACACTAAAACATTGTCATAAAATTCAAGTAATTCCTCCTCAACTTCACTGAAACAACAGAAGTATATCTTGTGTAATTTTCACTTCACAATTCTACTTTAAAGGCCCCAATGCTTTTGGTCAGGAGTGCAACAAATATGTTAAAATTATAAATCATCAAATAAGAATAAAAATAACGAAAAAATGATGAGTAGAATTTTTCTGGTGGGTTACTGTGATTGTCTTCTAAAGGAAAATATGCTTTAAAATATATTTTATCTTCTAAATATACATTTAAGCTAGTTTTTTGGCATAAAATGGGGTATAACTCCAGATAAAATGCGAATTTTAAATACTTTCATCTGTTTTAATTATGAAGTATTGGACTATAAGTATTGCACAATTTCATTACCACTTGATGTTTCCAACACTTTATGAATTTTTGTGTTCTATGGTTTTAATTTTAAACTTTACTGCAGTCAGGAGTGCAACAGAACTGCTTCATAATTACCGATGCTTTTTAACTATCTTTACTAAAAAATAAGTTGAAAAAAACTGCTTGATACTTTTTTGATGTTCAAAACACTATGTCTATCAACAAATTACGGAAATTTTACAGTCAATTCAGGGAATAGTTTCATCATTTCACATATATTTTAAATACAAATTATATATATTACACTTTGCAAATAATCATGTTTTAAGGTCTTCAAAATATGAAAAACCTGCTGTAAACGATGAAAAATATCAACACAACAAATTGATTTACAAAGTAAGAATGGGTTATTGTGTGTTATCATTTTTAAAACAATGTTAAATAAAATACATATCAGATGTCAGGAGTGCAAAACAATAATGTAACATAGGGTCACTTCAAAATCTAGTATTTTTTGTAAGAGAACTCGTATATAAGAATTCTTTTTTGGCTTAGATTTAAAGAATTAACTTGAACGGACAAAAAAGTGAATTTTGGGGAATTTTATTGCTTCATATTTTTTTCATATTAAAACTTTTCAAACCAGAATTGAAAAAATAATGTAAAATAACAATCAAAAAGCCAATTTTTTGTCACATGTACAAGAGAAGATACTCATTTAAGGTCTAGATTTAATCATTTATACACCTTTTACCATTTTGAAGCATAAAAAACTATAATTTCTTGTGATTATGTATTTTAGAAAGTCTTTTAAGGTGTAATGATATTTTCTTTTTTCAAAAGAAATTTTACTAATAAAAATTCTGAAACATTTTAATCCAATTGTCTATTCTATTGCCACTTCAGGATTTTAAACTAGAATGCATTTGCAATATGATGATAGAAGTGAAAAATATATTATAAGTAGTTGAATTTTGCCAAAAAAATTCAGTTTGGTGGTCATTTTTTTTTAATTCACCCAACTGCAATGTTTAAATACGCTACATATGAATACAGTACAAAATTACACAGTAACTTTCGTTTTATTTTTCCCAGTTTCTACGGCATACGGAAAAACTGATAGTTTAAAATGTTTAATGCATTAGTTTTCACTTTCTTCCTTGTAAAATTCTGCAAGGCCATCTTCACATTCATTTGGTAATTCTATATAAAATATCTGATCTGTCATAGAAATATATCTTAATATGAGAATCATCAAACAAATTTAATTATTGTCTGTTATTACTTCATCATACAAAAATAATCCGTAAATTCCATTTCCAATCAATTTCATCAGTTATGCCTCTCATACAACACATGCAAGAGAAATAACTCTAGAAAAGACACCAGAGCAGGAAGTACTTCAAGACCATATGGTGATAACAACGTCCGTCATTTGCTTTTTGAGACTTGTTTCTGATTTAATGAACTATGTTTGAAGTAAATTAATTCTAGAGGTAAGTAATATAGATTATCATAGCACAATATGTGATTCTTTAAACAAATAACTAAGAAAGACCTGGCAGGGGGGATTAGACCTCAGATGATATTATTTTTAACTGTATATCCGGAATAAATTATATGTCCTGTTATACATCCGTAGACCAGTTTATTTTGGTTTGTGAAGAGAATAAGTTATTTTTTTATTCACAAGCATATGTTTAATGTAATATCATTTACTTTAATTTCAGACTTTTAAGTTAATCAATATTTGTTAAGCCAGTCCATTTCCATTTGATATTCATTTAATGAGTGCATTAGTTGCTTTCAATTTTAGCTCATTTGCGTTTTATGTTCTCCAATATACATGTACTGGTATATCATTTATATATTAGATTCAACATGGATCCCAGCAACAGTGCTCAAGATATCGTCCGGTGTGACCTTTGTGAGGTTATAGCGCAGAAGTACTGTGATTTCTGTCATGTCAACTTGTGCATTCCTTGTACCGGAAAACATATTTCTGATGACTATGATGAACATAAAGTAGTTCCATTCGAACAGAGAGAATCAACCTTGGTTTATCCTAAGTGCACAACACATGAAACAAAAAGATGTAAATATCATTGTAAAGAATGCAATATATCTGTATGTTCTTTATGTTCTGTAATATCAAATACACACAGGGGGCATACCATTTCAACTCTCTTTGATATCTATAATGCAAAGAGAGAAGTCGTTAGAAAAGACACTGATGAATTAGAAAACATTTCTTCAACATATGAAGAAGTAGCATCAGACATAGAAGCTCGGTTAGATAACATAGATGGAGAATACGAAAAACTTTCAACAGCTGTGACCAAACATGGAGAAGACTGTCATCGAATAATCAATACCATTGTTAATAAAATGAAAGCAGACATTATAGAAATGAAAATAGAACATATGAGCATTCTGAGAAAACAGTTGGATGAAATCAAACAGATACAACTTCGAATTGAGGAACAATTGTTTAGTTTGAATAGAATTCAAGAATCAAATGAAGTGTCCATGACCATGGAATACATTTCTGAAAACAAAGGATTCGTCAAACTTCCTCCTCAAGTTCAAGTGCCACTGCCAACATTCAATCCCAAGGCAATAGATACATATCAGTTTTACACGTTGTTTGGATATCTGACACCCTTATCTACCACAACAGAAGAGAACGTTTACACATTGAAGAAACCAGAGACATCAAGCGGAGAACTGCTAGAGGAAGCAGAACTCATCACTACTTTAAATACTGGGTATCAAAACCTCTGCGGTGTAACCTGTTTCGATGAAGAAGAAATCTGGACAAGGGCAACTCAGATCAGTGATATTAAATGCTTTAATATTCAAGGTTCAATTATCAAGTCAATCAAAACAAAATCAGGTGAACAGGCAAAAGATGTAGCAGTGACAGGTGATGGTGATATAGTATACTCTGACTGGAAAACAAGGACAGTAAATAAAGTGAAGAATGGACAGACAGAGGAGCTGATTAGACTTCAGAACTGGGCACCTTCAAAACTCTGTGTCACCTCCTCTGGTGATCTCCTGGTTATCATATACAGTGATGACAAAACACAAGTCAAAGTGGTCCGTTACTCAGGTTCCACAGAAAAACAAACAATACAGTTTGATGAAGAGGGTAAACCTATGTATTCAGGAAATAGAAATGTTATGTACATCACTGAAAACAGGAACCTGGATATCTGTGTGGCTGACTGTGGAGCTGGTGCTGTAGTAGTGGTTAACCGATCTGGAAATCTGAGATTTAAATACACTGGTCATCCTGAACAGAAGAGACCATTTGATCCTTACGGGATAACAACAGACAGCAAGAGTCATATCCTGACAACAGACTGTAATAATCACTGTATCCACATCCTAAACCACGATGGGCAATTCCTGCATTCTATATATAACTGTGATCTAAAGGATCCATTTGGTTTACATGTGGATAAAAGTGATAATCTGTTTGTTGCAGAGTTTTATAGCGGTAATGTTAAGAAAATAAAGTATATGAAGTGAAGAAAAATGAAATATCATTTTAAAAAATGCTTTAGAATGGTATTTTCAACATACCATTATTACACATAAGAAAAGTACTGACTTCTTTAAAAACGAAATGCAATATTTCTAATTGCAAATTAGCTGTATAATAACATTACAAATTCAAATAAATACTGACTTGTATTGTAAATGTTTTTCTTCATATTTGTATAACAAAAGGATGTGCTGGTTCATTAAATTCGTAATATTTTAAATTGAGCTAAATAACTGGATGTTCGAGCTCTATGTAACCATCAGATGCCAGCGATGTAAAATACGATCCAGACACTTTTGTGAAGCAATAATGAAAAATATTTTAATTTTGAACTGCTTGACATCTACAACATTTTAGTGCAACATTGTAATTTTTACTTATGCTTAAGACGTTTCATGATCCCGGTGCCAGTACGTACACCCGAGAGTTCTATATATGCTTAGTTTGTTTGTTTTTTGTTTAACGTCCCTCTCGAGAATTTTTCACTCATATGGAGACGCCACCACTTGCCGGTGGAGAGCTGCAATTTTTGACCTAAGCTCGGTACTCAGGACAATTGAGCAGTGAGGGATCTTTTTTGTGCCAGCACATACTGCGACACGGGACTTCGGTTTATACAGTCTCATCCGAAGGACCGATCTCCACGTCCCAGTGAGAATCGAATCCGCGACGTAAGGATCAATCCTTACCCCGCGACTCTAGAGCAGACGCTATACCACTGCGCCACGTGGGCGTTATGCTTAGTAAAATCGAAAAGAATCAATGCCTTCTAAATATTGTAATTGTAATATTTGTTGGTGTTAACTTTTTTTTTTCCTTGTATGAAGAGATTCACGAATTCATGTCTTCCTAAAAACGTTATAACTATAAAGTATCAAGCATGTCTACCAACCACGAAATTAAATCCCCTCCAATCAGTTTTTTTCATAAACCACGAAAATTTGACCCCAAGAGAATTAGTGATTTTACAGTAAAAGCCTTTGGAGAAGGCAAATCATTGATTAAACAAAGACCCATATCCAAACTAGGCAATATCTAACCAGGTGTTGATTTTCCTGAAATTGTGTATCACTGCAGTATCAATTCTGATGTATACTAGTATTCTTATCATAATTGATTTTAATGAATTTGATACAATCTGAAATTTTTTATATAGAATGTTCATCTCTTAAAAAATTTCGATCCCATTCACTTGCAGAAATGACTGAATCTGGAAATTCTGGAATTACCGTGTGACGGGTTATTTTTACTGCTGTAAATTTTTACAAATTTTGATGAAAATAGGGTGATTTAAATTTTTATGCGTTTAATTTTTACAAATTGAGGATGTCCGTAAAAATTAAAATCATTAGAGGTAAAATTCCAGATCAATAATTGTTAGCGCTCTGAATGCGTTTACATACAAATAAGTGAGTCTGGATAACCCGATGTAAAAAAAAAAAAAAAAGGAATTGTTCCCGTGATAACGGCTCATTAAATGATATATGTTTGTACCTTTGTAAACCATATGCCCTTTATTTGTTCCTTCTTTTTTTAACACACTGCTAGGTATCATTATTGTTGCGCACCACGTGCTCGTCTTGATTTTACCGGAAACAGAGAGACAACTCAAACCATCATGATTTAATTGACAGTATTACAGTGTATTAAAAAGTCGAAGTTTTTATTCCAAGCACATAAAACAGAAGAAAGGGTCAAAGACTTTGTAAAAAAAAAAAATGGCATAATTGGAGGACCTGTAATAAGTCATTATCAGAAATTATGCGTCTTGTAAAATTACTAAATAATAGAGTTACTAGGTAATTGACGATGTTTCAATAACTTATGCAAGTTAATTAAGATTTACCTGTATGATCCCAATTGATAATTAAATTAAAAGTGCCCAAAATACCAATAGTGCTAATTCTATAGCCTCCAGGGACTGAGCTGAATGGCAATTAGCATTACTCTCGATATTGAAAATTTATGCAAGGCGGTTTTTTTATTTCTATGAAATTTTCCGTGTTTAAATTTTACGATTTTATAAAACTCGTAAAAATTAGCAGCACGTAAAAAATACCCGTTATTCAGTATTTTACCTCGGCTGTTACTGGAACCTCAACAAAAATGTTAATAAGACGCCCGCATCCTTTTATTTTTCTTCTTATAACGCTAATTATCTTTCTTCCATATCTGTGATTAAAATATTTACTATCTGTGCATTCTTATCTGTAAATTCAAAGTGAAAATCCCTTAACTAATAAATTAAGTCTCTTTTTATGTAGCCATCTTGTTGCCAGTCCAGTTTTAAATGTAAGTATTATAGAAATTAACTTCATCTCCATATTCATAATAAAACATTAGTTTTATTTAATTTTTTATCTGATGACGATATATGTCATAAAAGTCTGTACATATGATGCTTACACTGTAAGTGTTGGCGTCAATATAAACCTTTAATGTTGATCAATATATACATACCTTGTCTCTGGCATGTATACTCTGGAACAGTTTAAAAAACCTAACAAATTGACTAAGAAAACCTGGCATAGTTCATATTATCTGAGAATTATCCAAGAAGTCTTATATCTCCAGAAATTATCGGGATTGGTCAGGCACGTTTGACTGCCACAATTTTTTATAATTTAAAAGCTGGTATGCAATGCATGACTCTCCATCCAGCCATATTTTTTCTTTACTATTCATCATTTCCTACTACACCACTTACTGAGAGGGTTATTAATATAAATACCAGCACTCATTATAATGGTTGCATCTAATAATATCAATACATGACATAAATGTAGTTTAAACGTCTGTAGAGATGATGGCAACAAAATTTATTTTTCACACTCCAGTGAGTTGTATTTATTCAGTTTTAATTACATTTCACAACAATGCAAACTATGTTCTTAAGAATCTGATTCTCATATATAATACACCGATCCGGTTGCACGAACGATGGTTGAATTAACTTAAAGATAGTGTCGTAACCAGCCATTGAATGTTTAACGAAAAGATACATAACAGTCAGTTAAATTGTTATTGTTTGAAAGGCTATTAAAGCTTAATTAGCTAACTCAGAATTAATCAATGTCTTATAGTAAACTCTGGTTAAAATCGTTCGACGCGTGCACTTCCCTTACCTATGGTGAAATATTATTGACATCATAAACAAATTGACGTCATTTTGTAAATGTAAATTTGCTAAGGTTAAATTGCTAAAATATTTAATTAAAGATACATGTAGTTTCTTCAAACATGAACTTTTACATTGAAGATCATTTTACATACAATATGAAAAATACGAGTACAAAGTATATGTACATGTAGTTTTCTGTATTAAGTTCTAAGAGGAGGCATTGATTTTTGGGAGAGGAAATTTAAAATAATTAAAAAAAAATCTCTTAAAAAGTGGAAGAAGAACTCCCCCTTCCCGTTTTATGTGCCTGACGTTTGTGGAACTAATGTTTAATCTACTTTTCAGAAACTTGTCTGAGGTTAAAAAAGTTGTAAAATGATGATCTTTTTTTATAAATATAATGACATTTTATGTATGATCATGCATAATCGGATAAAAAAGTACCTACATCTCCACTCATATGGAATGTTTTCGTCTTGTTCTTTGCAGATAATATCGATATATTTTTTGGCAATTAAATACATGTATAATACAATCATGCCTAAATTGAAATCAGGATCAAATGTGCATGTTGCTCAAGTCAGACATTTATATTATCTCTGTACAAATTCGTCCTTCCTCGCAAACAAGTTTTGAAATGATAACAAATCGCAGTTTTGATTTTAACGTTTAATTAAATATTTAATGTACCTATATAGCCTCAGTTAAATATGTTAGTTAAATCATAAAATTAACGAAGCTTTAACTGTTAGTTAAATTTCGTGCAATGCAACCGGTTTAACTCGTCGTTAATTCTAATGTCGTGTTAACGCAAAGCAAACAGCTTATTAAATCTAACTAACGTTCCTGCAACCGGATCCAGGATATTGTAAATTGTATATCAAACATAATGTGTCTTACGGATTTGACTGTTTCTTTCTTTGTCTTTTGTTTGTTTGATTGCTTGATTAACGTCCCTTCTTAAATTTTTCACTCATATTGAGATACCACATCTTGCCGATGGAGGGCTGCAAATTTAGACATGTACATGGCACTTACAGCCTTTGTGCAGTGAGGGATCATTTTCATGCCAACACCTATTGCGACATGGGACCTTGTTGATCCCACTGCGGGTATTCAAAGTAATCAGAAGTTTTCACAAGAAGTTTCAAAAGTATGACAATTGAAGGTCGAAGCTGCTATGACTCTCGCAACCATTACTTATCTAGAACACCGATAAAAATATGTAATGGATATATGCCGAATACTGTTCTGTATGTAAAATCATCAGACTGTTTGAGGCCCGTTAGGGCCGAAAATAGTCTGATAATTTTACATATAGAATTGTATGAGGCATATATCTTACTTAAAACATTGCTATTTAAATGTCCAAAAGTTACCTGGAGGAGTCCGATAATTACACAATAGGAGTTCAGGCGTCAATAGTTTTCTACCTGAAACCATCTTATAAGTAGACAAAAGAAAAGAGAAAGGTTTTTTTTCTTTAGACAGTAAAATCAGTGAGTGATCTCTTTTGTTTAATTCATTCATTCGTTCAATGGCAGTCGTTTGGCTTAGCAGGAACTAGTGGTCAGATGATGAAGGATTTTTTTATGATTCGGAATATTTTTTTTTATTAAGTGCGTTTGACATTGATACAGATACAGTGTTGGATGATATCTTCAAAATGCATTTAAAGTAAAAATGCGGATTTTTATCCAAAATTTTGATGGGATGATAGAATGAAAATCTTGGGCTTTGAAAGTGCGGTCATTGGCGAACAAACCTCGTTAAATGAAGAGATTCGCAGACTGGTTCTTTATCAGAAA